GTTTTAAATTTAACAAAATTGACCAATTCTTCACAGAATGAGGTTATGGTTTTAATTTAACGTTAGAATTTAAAAGATATGTGTTGTTTGTATAAAAAATGAGAAAGTAAATTTTCATTATCAACATGACTTTGTTATTATAAAAGAATTTAGTAAATTAACGTATATGTATATTATAATAATTTATTTTAAAATAAATAAAAGTTAAAAGAATTATAAATACAATTAAATTTTTTACGACCGTTATGCCCCGCTGTTAACGCGCAAATAAGAGGGTCCGTTCCTCACACCAATCCTCAGTATATAAACGACACTTATCCCTAGCGTTCTGCCGTATCTCGTCTTAACCTCTGCACACAAAATTAGGGTTTCTCATTCCTTTTTCTTCTTCAATTTTCCTAACCCCAATTCACCATAGGCTTCTTTATCTGGTCGGTGCGGATTACTTCCATTCCCATTCGGCTCGTTCCCTTGAAGCAATAGTTGTTTGTGTTGTTCTTTAATATATTTCCACAATCCATTGGTTTTGGGAGCAAATTGAGCAACTAAATTCATTTCTCTACCAAAGCTTTAGTTTTTTATTCTGGGTTAGGATTTTTTTTCGTCAATTGGATAGCCTAGGTTGCACTATTTTCAACTGTGATGAGCCTACAGACCTGTAATGATTTGCGGCTATGATCGCAAACATAATTGAACATCCAAGGGACTAAGTTCTTTATTTTTGCTTCCAGCTTTTTTTTTAATGATTTTACGTTTGGTTATGGAACCAATGTGTTTCGTTTTTCATGTGTATTGCTTTTTAGTTGTGTTTCAATTGGGTGTTAATCTTTGAAAGGCTTTAATTTTCTTTGAGATTTTCGCTTGCACTTGTTTCAAGTGTTTTGCGTAGTTTAATTGAAGCCGAAATGCGTGTTCCCCTCGCTATCCATTGTTGCAATTTGATGCTGCATTTGGACGTCGGGGAACTAAATCCCCTTTTTGAGTTTTCATAATGTGAGGGTTATTATTTTGTCATTTGCTAGCTACTGATTTGGTTTTTGTAAATTTTTGTTTTCTCATAGTTTGAGATCTATCTTGGTTTAAAATTTGAATGTTGGTAGATTAGGATGAAGCAAAATATATAATCCAACACTTGATCTGAGTAATTATGAGTGATGGTAAAAATAATTATATGCTTCTGAATCTGCATATCTTTTGAAGCAAGCATGCTTACAGAGTTTCTTTGGTGACATTACTTTTTGCAACCATACTTTGTGTTGCCACCTTAAAACAAGTTTTGAGAAACAAAAGGGACTGGAAACACCATCATGCATGAAGAAGCCAGGGGAAACTGTAAGATTTTGGTGTTGAACTTATTATCTATGGTGATTGTGAATTATTTTGGTTGTTAAATCTGGTTTTCTAGTTTTGTACAAGGTTTTAAATTAATCTGAGCATCTGTGATGAAGGTTTTATAGTGATTCTAAATTGGGCTCTACTTTGTCATATCAAATTTAAGCAACCCACATTTATATACTTTTTTCTAACTGTAAAAAGTTTTGAGGATGTTTTTGCCCATCTGGAAACAAATACATTTCTACTCCTACATTTTTTATAATTTGACCTAATATGAGATAATTATTGCTTAAGTTACATTGTGTGATGAAATTGGAAAAATCTTAGGACACCTTCCTACACAGCAGAACACTGCTGTGGATGAGAATGAATTTTCCGAGAATGAATTTTTCGTGCTGACGATGTAGTTGATTCCTCTTTCAACCAAAATTTCTAAATCTCTCTTATCTTAGAAAAGGTTAATGAGATTCTATATTTCTAGGGTGAGAACTTTGGACTTATTACCTGGAGATTAACCTAGCATAATGAAACCCGAAATCTCTTTTTTTTTTCGTAGTCTTAAGAAAGAAACAACCGTGTCAAACAAAAGACAAAAGTAGTAATTCAATAGCACCACATCAACAAAACGTTCTTCTATGAAGAGGAATTAAATAAAGAGACTTTCTAAAGCCAGAAGTTAAACAAAAAGTAAAAAAATATAAATTAAAATTAACTTTTTTATCACCTCACTCCATCTTAATTATACAAGTGAAACATTAAACTTTTATGTATCACCAAAGAGTAAATTTGTAATCTTAAATTTTTACACACTTTCATGCCCTTTCATTTACATTGCCAACTCCTTTAAAATAAACAAGGCTACCTTTTCCTTCAAATTTCAAAATTCATTCATTTCTCTCCTTCAAATTCATTCCTTAAACCCATTTTTAAGGTAATGTTTATTTTAGTGAAAGAATTTGAGGAAAAAGAAACGAATAGATGTTTTTTAAAGAGATTTTAAGATGATTGAGAATAGATTTAAAATTAAAATTTATGAATGTTTGTGAAATATTTAATTGATATGATAGATTAATAAAAATATTTTAATAGATAGAAAATATAAGTTAACAAATTATCCTTCATAATAATAATAAAAATGATATTTATATGTAATATATATTTTATAAAAATTATTTGAAATAATATAATTAAAAAAATTAATATATTATTATTTACTTTTATTATTATAACTATATATGTGTGTAATAATGACATAACATCTAAAAAAACATGTAAAAAAGTTTGAAGAAAGAGAATTAAAAAAATGTTAGATTTGTAAAATCACATTTGAGACCCTCAAATCTTTGCATATATGAAAGGAAATCCTTTCATCCATCAATAAATCCGCGCTTCCAAATCTATGCTAATAAAGTGGAAAAGAACAAGGTAGATTTCTCCTTTCCCATCTTCATAAATAAGAAATCCTCAAACGCGAACACGGTCTAATGTAATGCTCATTTTAGATGAAAGATTTGGAAGAGAGAAGAAAATGGATCGGAAGGAATTTGAGAAAGAGTTGATTGTTATTTTTTGAAACGGAGGTGAGTGAAAGTGAATTCGAAAATAATGTTTATAAAAATTAATGTTAGAATTGATTGATGTGACAGATAAAATATTCATTAATTGGTAGAAATTAAAAATTATCAAAATATCCTTAATAGTAAAAGTAATATAAAATGATAATTTTTAAAATGAAAAATATTGTAAAGAGAAAAAAAAGTAAAAATTAATTTTTAAAATGAAAAATAAATATATTTAAGTAAAATGAAATAATTATTTTTTAACTGCAAAAATAAATAAACAAGTGAGAAAGTCATGAAAATCAAGTTTTGGAATCCAATAACAAAGCCATGAAATTGAAATTGAAGCGTTGCATTTGATTACAAAGAGTTGAAACCGAATCCACTCTTCCTGGAACCGAATACGAGGCTTCATCACTTTGCACACATAGGTTGAACATAATGCACTCTCCATGGAAACGAATACAACTCTCTCTGAAACTGAATATACTCTCCCTGTATTCGGATACACACACTTCTTCTTCAACTCATCTTCTTCGTTGATGAACCTCCATTGCTTCACATTATTCCATCATCTTCATCCTCAACATCTACTCCCTCACACAGCTCTTTATGCAAGTTGGCCAACCNTGGAAAAATAAAATCATGATAAAATTTTATATTTTAAAAGAAATAATATTTCAAATAATTAATATTAAGGATTAAAAAATTTAAAATCGAAATACTATGTCATCCTTATAATATCTTTATTCTTTAGAGCAGAGGAAAATAACTCATTTTAAGAAAATAATGCTCTAAATATTTCATTTCAAAATTTATTGTTTATGTTTCAAAAATATGATTTGGAAAACTCATTTCGAAACATATTTCATGTGTTTTTGAAAGATTGTTTTGGAAAAATTATTTCGAAAGGTGTTATATTATTCCAGAAAGCTTATTCTAGAAATTTTATTATAAAAAAACTTGTTACAAAATGAATTACTTTCATTCTAAAAATTGTATTTTAAAAACTCTAAAACATAATGTTTTGAGAAACTTGTTCGACAGATTTTCAGATGAAACGATTCAAAAGTCATTTTAATAAAGGAGTAAATAGGCATTTTGAAAGTTATGGGATGTAGTTGAAAATTGCGGAGGTGGAGGAAGAAAAGGCCGAAATTTGTTCCTGTGGGATGGGCCCATTACTCCTTGGAGATCCACAGAAACATAATCTAGGCTGATAAACGCTCTGGAGTAAACAATGATATCAGATTATTGAGGCGTTTAAGGAGACGGTTTTAAATTTAACAAAATTGACCAATTCTTCACAGAATGAGGTTATGGTTTTAATTTAACGTTAGAATTTAAAAGATATGTGTTGTTTGTATAAAAAATGAGAAAGTAAATTTTCATTATCAACATGACTTTGTTATTATAAAAGAATTTAGTAAATTAACGTATATGTATATTATAATAATTTATTTTAAAATAAATAAAAGTTAAAAGAATTATAAATACAATTAAATTTTTTACGACCGTTATGCCCCGCTGTTAACGCGCAAATAAGAGGGTCCGTTCCTCACACCAATCCTCAGTATATAAACGACACTTATCCCTAGCGTTCTGCCGTATCTCGTCTTAACCTCTGCACACAAAATTAGGGTTTCTCATTCCTTTTTCTTCTTCAATTTTCCTAACCCCAATTCACCATAGGCTTCTTTATCTGGTCGGTGCGGATTACTTCCATTCCCATTCGGCTCGTTCCCTTGAAGCAATAGTTGTTTGTGTTGTTCTTTAATATATTTCCACAATCCATTGGTTTTGGGAGCAAATTGAGCAACTAAATTCATTTCTCTACCAAAGCTTTAGTTTTTTATTCTGGGTTAGGATTTTTTTTCGTCAATTGGATAGCCTAGGTTGCACTATTTTCAACTGTGATGAGCCTACAGACCTGTAATGATTTGCGGCTATGATCGCAAACATAATTGAACATCCAAGGGACTAAGTTCTTTATTTTTGCTTCCAGCTTTTTTTTTAATGATTTTACGTTTGGTTATGGAACCAATGTGTTTCGTTTTTCATGTGTATTGCTTTTTAGTTGTGTTTCAATTGGGTGTTAATCTTTGAAAGGCTTTAATTTTCTTTGAGATTTTCGCTTGCACTTGTTTCAAGTGTTTTGCGTAGTTTAATTGAAGCCGAAATGCGTGTTCCCCTCGCTATCCATTGTTGCAATTTGATGCTGCATTTGGACGTCGGGGAACTAAATCCCCTTTTTGAGTTTTCATAATGTGAGGGTTATTATTTTGTCATTTGCTAGCTACTGATTTGGTTTTTGTAAATTTTTGTTTTCTCATAGTTTGAGATCTATCTTGGTTTAAAATTTGAATGTTGGTAGATTAGGATGAAGCAAAATATATAATCCAACACTTGATCTGAGTAATTATGAGTGATGGTAAAAATAATTATATGCTTCTGAATCTGCATATCTTTTGAAGCAAGCATGCTTACAGAGTTTCTTTGGTGACATTACTTTTTGCAACCATACTTTGTGTTGCCACCTTAAAACAAGTTTTGAGAAACAAAAGGGACTGGAAACACCATCATGCATGAAGAAGCCAGGGGAAACTGTAAGATTTTGGTGTTGAACTTATTATCTATGGTGATTGTGAATTATTTTGGTTGTTAAATCTGGTTTTCTAGTTTTGTACAAGGTTTTAAATTAATCTGAGCATCTGTGATGAAGGTTTTATAGTGATTCTAAATTGGGCTCTACTTTGTCATATCAAATTTAAGCAACCCACATTTATATACTTTTTTCTAACTGTAAAAAGTTTTGAGGATGTTTTTGCCCATCTGGAAACAAATACATTTCTACTCCTACATTTTTTATAATTTGACCTAATATGAGATAATTATTGCTTAAGTTACATTGTGTGATGAAATTGGAAAAATCTTAGGACACCTTCCTACACAGCAGAACACTGCTGTGGATGAGAATGAATTTTCCGAGAATGAATTTTTCGTGCTGACGATGTAGTTGATTCCTCTTTCAACCAAAATTTCTAAATCTCTCTTATCTTAGAAAAGGTTAATGAGATTCTATATTTCTAGGGTGAGAACTTTGGACTTATTACCTGGAGATTAACCTAGCATAATGAAACCCGAAATCTCTTTTTTTTTTCGTAGTCTTAAGAAAGAAACAACCGTGTCAAACAAAAGACAAAAGTAGTAATTCAATAGCACCACATCAACAAAACGTTCTTCTATGAAGAGGAATTAAATAAAGAGACTTTCTAAAGCCAGAAGTTAAACAAAAAGTAAAAAAATATAAATTAAAATTAACTTTTTTATCACCTCACTCCATCTTAATTATACAAGTGAAACATTAAACTTTTATGTATCACCAAAGAGTAAATTTGTAATCTTAAATTTTTACACACTTTCATGCCCTTTCATTTACATTGCCAACTCCTTTAAAATAAACAAGGCTACCTTTTCCTTCAAATTTCAAAATTCATTCATTTCTCTCCTTCAAATTCATTCCTTAAACCCATTTTTAAGGTAATGTTTATTTTAGTGAAAGAATTTGAGGAAAAAGAAACGAATAGATGTTTTTTAAAGAGATTTTAAGATGATTGAGAATAGATTTAAAATTAAAATTTATGAATGTTTGTGAAATATTTAATTGATATGATAGATTAATAAAAATATTTTAATAGATAGAAAATATAAGTTAACAAATTATCCTTCATAATAATAATAAAAATGATATTTATATGTAATATATATTTTATAAAAATTATTTGAAATAATATAATTAAAAAAATTAATATATTATTATTTACTTTTATTATTATAACTATATATGTGTGTAATAATGACATAACATCTAAAAAAACATGTAAAAAAGTTTGAAGAAAGAGAATTAAAAAAATGTTAGATTTGTAAAATCACATTTGAGACCCTCAAATCTTTGCATATATGAAAGGAAATCCTTTCATCCATCAATAAATCCGCGCTTCCAAATCTATGCTAATAAAGTGGAAAAGAACAAGGTAGATTTCTCCTTTCCCATCTTCATAAATAAGAAATCCTCAAACGCGAACACGGTCTAATGTAATGCTCATTTTAGATGAAAGATTTGGAAGAGAGAAGAAAATGGATCGGAAGGAATTTGAGAAAGAGTTGATTGTTATTTTTTGAAACGGAGGTGAGTGAAAGTGAATTCGAAAATAATGTTTATAAAAATTAATGTTAGAATTGATTGATGTGACAGATAAAATATTCATTAATTGGTAGAAATTAAAAATTATCAAAATATCCTTAATAGTAAAAGTAATATAAAATGATAATTTTTAAAATGAAAAATATTGTAAAGAGAAAAAAAAGTAAAAATTAATTTTTAAAATGAAAAATAAATATATTTAAGTAAAATGAAATAATTATTTTTTAACTGCAAAAATAAATAAACAAGTGAGAAAGTCATGAAAATCAAGTTTTGGAATCCAATAACAAAGCCATGAAATTGAAATTGAAGCGTTGCATTTGATTACAAAGAGTTGAAACCGAATCCACTCTTCCTGGAACCGAATACGAGGCTTCATCACTTTGCACACATAGGTTGAACATAATGCACTCTCCATGGAAACGAATACAACTCTCTCTGAAACTGAATATACTCTCCCTGTATTCGGATACACACACTTCTTCTTCAACTCATCTTCTTCGTTGATGAACCTCCATTGCTTCACATTATTCCATCATCTTCATCCTCAACATCTACTCCCTCACACAGCTCTTTATGCAAGTTGGCCAACCTTGGAGGGTGTGAGAAACCCTGGAATGTGCATGGCTTCAAGGAAATGAAAGGAGGGAAATGAGGTATTTCACTCATAATCCACTCAAAATCGCATGGCTTCTACGAAGATGGAATAAACCCTTCATCCTGCAAATCCATCGTCATCCATTACTTGCTATTTATTAAAACGAACACGATTTTCGTTCGTAATCTGTCTCTCTCAATCACTGTAAATAGTGTAATCCATTCAACCTAACACAACGTAAATTTAAAATTGTTGTCATTAGAGGAAGACATGCAAACTTGTCCCTAATAGTTCTCTATGTCATGGAACTTGAATGGATTTGGGGGAGAGTAATTGAGGGGATTTGAAGGTAAATTTTTTTTGTTGTTTATTTGAGTCGATTTGGAGGTAAGTGAGGGGGAATTTGGAAGTAAAATTTGTGAGAATTAATGTAAGATTTGATTGATGTGACAAATTAAAAAGTTTACTTCAAAATTCATTCTCACTTACCTCTAAATCCACTCAAATAAATAACAAAAAGATTTACCTTCAAATTTTATCAAATTCTAATATTTTCACAACGAAATCAACAAAAGTATCATAACTATTAAAGGTCATTAGTGTCTGCAACTAAGTCACATTTGTCAAAGAAGAATGGAGAAATATTTGAACCCATGGGTTACTCACCTCATTATATGCATACTCAACCCATCAAAGCTTATAACTTGATTTGAATGACTGGTTTTGCTTGTTTATACTAAGTTTTTGTGTGATTGAAAGGATTTAAAATTTAAAATATCATTGAGTAAATTGATGTGAATTTACGTGTTTAAAATTTCTTTGAACAATGTACTGTAAAAAAAAATGTTAATGTTGATGGAAACAAATGCTAATTATTTTAAATAGTGTATTAGAAATATAAATCTAGAATAATAGTTTTTTAGATTATCAATTATGTTTAAGTAATTGTTAAATATTTTTATAAGAGTTGTTGATAAAACTTGAAATTATTATTATAGGTGTTAAATTAGGGAATTTAATTTTAAATATGGAAAAAATAAAAAAATAAAATATAATCATAATGAACGAATATATATTTTTATTTAATATTTTTATATATTTATTGAAGAATAATTAATTGAACTAATAGTATTTTAAAAATATATTAAAATAGTATTTCACAATGAAATATCTAAAAACAAACGCATCCAAGTTTAATTTACTACATTAAAATTGGTTGCCAAACTATATTGCACATGAATCGCAGATAACTCCCGAATATCATTTCATTCCTCACTATATAAACCACACTTTTTCCCTTTCACTTGGTCTTGCCTCTTCTTCTTAACCTATGTATATGAAATTAGGGTTTCGCATTCCTTTTCCTCTCTTCAACTTTTCTAGCCCTATTTAGCCATAGGCTTCTTTATCTGGTCGGTGCGGATTACTTCCATTCCCATTCGACTCGTTCCCTTGAAGCAAAAGTTTTTGTGTTGTTTTTCAATATCTTTTCCACAATCCTTTGGTTTTGGGAGCACACTGGAACAACTATATTCAATTTTCTACCGAAGTTTTAATTTTTTATGTTGGATCTGCATTTTTTCGTTGATTGGATAACTTGGGTTGTGCTATTTTCGACTGTGATGAGCCTACAGACCTGTAATGATTTGCGGCTATGATCGCAAACATTATTGAACATCTAAGGGACTGAGTTGTCTAATTTTGCTTCAAGTTTTCTACTTGTTTTTACATTTGTTTAAATTTTATGTGATGTAAAAACAATGTGATACGTTTGTTGTGTGTATTGATCATTATTTTTGGTTTTTCACTTGTTTCAAAGTTTTTTCGTTGTTTGATTCAAGACGACATGAGTGTTCCCCTCGCTATGTAGCTGTTTCAATTTTGGCGTTGCATTTATTTGGATGTCGAGGAACTAATTTTTGTGTTTTCAGCTGGCAACTTGGATCTTATTTTTTTGGTGGCCTTGATGTTATTGTTTTGAATTGAGATTACAAGTTTGTAAATCCATATAGTTATTTAATTTATGTATTGCTTTTAAGCTCGGTGTTTAGATAAGAAGCTTCAAACTTTTGGTAGATTAGATCAAAACATATTATTTAGTCCAAGGCAGTACTTGTTCCAAGGCAATTGAGTTTTATTGTAAACAAATCCATGACTATGGTTTTACATGGATCCGCCTTTGGGAAAATGTGTTTTCTTTTTCATGGAAAATTACACCGAACATTCTCCTGAGAAATTGTGTTGAGTTGGTGTGCTGGAAATCTAAGCCACTGTTCTATATCTTTTAGTTTTTGTTACTTAAACAAAGTTGATTCTTTTGGGCTCATATGTTGACGCATATGCATTATGTGGATTATTTGTTCATTGTTTGTGGTCTTAGAAGCTCTCTTTATTTGTGTTGGTTACATCATGTGATGAAATTGGATAAATCTTAGGACACCTTCCTACACAGCAAATTACTGTTGTGGATGAGAATGCATTTTCCATGCTGATGATGTACTTCGTACCTATTCGAATAGAAGATCTATTTGAACTATTGAGATTAGTGATGATTACCAATCTTTTAAGATTTGATCCAGGTTGTGGAAACACGTTGGATCAACTAAATTAAATTTTCTTCCAAATTTAAATTTTTCCTGTTATTGATTTCTGCAAACAT